ATAATGAAACCTTTTGATGGTAACTGATACTGGAATTTTAGGTAATTTTTTTTGCATTACCCTACCTAGGAATTAAATATCATGGTCATTAAAAGAATCAACAATTCTATAAATCGAAGCATTAATTTTCTGTACATAGTAGTTCAATTGCCATCGTGGAATATGAGTATATTTTTTCTTTCAAATTTACATAAGCATTTTTGTAAGTAAATTCAACCAACTTTCGTAAGATGATAAATATATAATGATAACAAATCTTTACTCATAATACACTAACAAAAGAAGCACACAGTTACAGGCACTACAACAAATATGGGATATTAATACCTTTATGGTGGGACATTTTTTCATAAGATGTGTCTCATTATATGTGTATTAGGACATTTATTAGAAAAGTGTCCTATTAAAAAATGAAAAAGTATGCTCATAGAATGAACCACTATGATAAGTGTATTATTTAGGTTGTTTTTGTACTATTAGCTTGTTTATGAGTCACTTTTAAGTGTATATTAATTGACAATCTAATAACACATTTTTAAATGTCTTATGACCGATTAGATGTCACTCTATCAAAAGTCACTTCGAGATAAGGGATAAAGGTCTTGAAAAGCCATAAAAATGGTAATAGTAAATCCAAGACTACGAATGTAATCTACAAAGAAGTCTTGCAAGACATGTAGGTGGTGTTTGTACAATGTTTTGTTTTAGTTTTTAATTTGGACTTGGGTGGAGATTTAAAATTTAGTTTAGTCTTTTATTTAGAAAGTATTATAGCATACTGACCATTTATGAAATTAAAATAGTTCAGTGACCAAAATGAAGACTTTACAATAGTGTAATGACCAAACACAAGACTTTACAATCTTTCAGTGACCAAAACCAATACTTTACAATAGTTCAGTGACCAAACGCAATAAAGACTTTACAATAGTTCAGTGACCAAAATGAGAACTTTACAATAGTGTAATGACCAAACGTAACATTTTAAAAGGTAAATCAAAATGTTATTTGGACAGTGCATTGGGTTTTGTGTTTAAAAGGTAAAATAAGACAAAAAGTAAACAAGTGGTTGGATAAACAAGGCCATAATCATTTAATTCAAAGTTGATTCTTTTTTATTTTTTTATTTTTACTTTTTTGAATTTCTTAACGATCCTCTTTGAATTAAGTAAATTACAACCGTATTTATATATTAAAGTGTTGTTAATGTTTGTGTTTATATTTTCCAATGAACTCACTATACATTTCATATTTAACATTTTATAAAAGTACAAAATCTATAAAAATAATATTGATATTATTTTGCTTCGCTTGTGTTGTAATGTGTCTATATGTGTATAATGTATCTATATCCGATTACTAGCATTGTCAATAGTACTTATCCTATTTTCTTAAATAAGCTCAAAAATGATCACATGATGGCATTTATAGAGAAAGATGAAGTTCAATACCTGAGTTCTGATAGCATATGCTATTCTGAAGGTAATGTAAACACGGAAGAAGGAATGTTCACACATGATTTTCTCAATCGTATAAAATGTTCTGGTCTCCCATTGCATGATTTAAAACTCAAAGTGGGTGCTTCGATCATGTTACTCAGAAATATAGATCAGCGGGCTGGACTATGTAATGATACAAGGCTTCGAGTTCTGGTTCTGGGAAAGCGTATAATTCAAGCAAAAGTGATATCTTGTAACAATGTGGGAGATATTGTATATATACCTCGGATGTCACTCTGCCTGCTGTCAGACACTAAATATCCTTTTAAGATGAGGAAAATGCAATTTCCTGTGTCCATATGCTTCGCAATGACGATAAATAAAAGTCAAGGCCAATCTTTGTCTCATGTGGGATTATATTTGCCACGTTCAGTTTTCAACCATGGCTAATTATATGTTGCTCTATCAAGAGTTAATTCGACGTAAGGAATAAAGGTGTTGATATGTGACGAAGATGGTAATGTCAGTTCCAAAACTACGAATGTCGTCTACAAGGAAGTATTGCAAGACATATGATCGTTCATCTGAAATGGACGTTGATTCTTTTTTATTTTATATATTCATTTATTTGCATTTGAAACATCATTACATTCATATTGGATTTATTTCTTCGTGTTTAATTTTGTCATTTATATCTCTTTTATTTGTTGATTTATTACATTTTTTTTCGATAAATATATAAGTTAATTTTTGTCATAATACATGTTATGTTATTTGCGTGTATATGTTCTCCCCCATCCATCAGACGGGTCTAATACTTAGTGAATTTACAACAACAAAACAAATATTTTAGCCAAAACATGTCTTTTTGACTATGATGATTTATGGTGACAAATTAAGTTGAGATCGACACTTACAAAATTTATTCTCGCGTCCAATGAAGTTATACACCAAAACAGTTTCGTCTCCAAATTTAACTAATATTAAAATTAATATTAAGTAGTTTTAGTTATTTTAGTTAATATTAAAAAAGGCATTTTCCATACTTCATCGAAAGGAGACAATTGTTGACTAATTGAGATATTGTGAATTTGTTTAGTATTTCTTCATTCAAAATGGCTTATTAGTTGATTTCTTTATTCTTTCTAGATTAAATAATAATGAAGAAAATAAATTGAATTTATGGGTTTCATATCTTGTAAAATGTTAGAACAAAGTGCAGTAGATGAAGCTAGGGCATTCTAAATCCCAATAACAGTAATCGAGATGATGGTTTCCCAACTTATTTTTTTATCATTAAAAAAGTGAAATTCCTCTCTGAATAAAATTGGAAAAAGTAACAAAAATGGGCACAATTTTTTATATTTATTTTTTTTGAAAAAAAAAAGAAGAAGAAGAAGAAATGAACAAAACATCATCTAGAATGACAAGACAAAAAAGAATAAAGAGGAAGGAATTTTTTTCAATAAAACCCGGAAAAGAAGAAGTTATATTCTGAAAGAAAATCGATGGTGGTGATACCTTATATATAAAATGTACAAGCGTCAAAATTCCAGTTGTTAGTGAACCTGGTCTGGCCAAGTAGTTAAAGTTAATAATAATCAATCATCTGTACATTGTCAAATGAACACAAACATGTCCAGGCACTTGGACATGATCATGAACAAAAAAAGAAGAAGCAGGACCGGCGGAATAACCCAAAACCTTGTACTATTTGGGAAGATTCATTTTACTACTATTGGTAATCGAGGGGTAAATGGCAAATTGCAGTAATTAGGATGAAGAGGACACGTCACCCCCCAATTAACTCCAAAGTTGGAAAATAGAAACGCGTCAATTTCTGAATGCTGGTCAAACTCATGATAGGACGCACGCGTGACCACAACACTTGCATTTGTGGAAAAAGGTATCTGATCATTCAGTTTTCCGAAAAATAATCTAAAAAAGAGGGGCCAAAGTTTTGTCCAATGCAAATTGTGAACTCATCTTAGTCACCATAAATAATGTGATCTTATGTGTTTTAGAAACGGTGTTTATTGCGTAATGCCTAGAAATTAAATCAGTTTACTTTATCATAAACGGAGTACTGTTTTAGTTTATTAAAATTTGTGAGATGAAATTAGGAAGAGAATAAAAAGATGTAGTGTTGTGATTGAGACACGCAAGTGAAATAGTAGACAAAATCCCACCGACTAATAATATCACTCACATTTGCGAACTAATAATTAATCGAAAAGCTGAAAAAGGTCCATTTACCACTTGTCTGTTAATTAACAATACTAATGATGTTTGAAGCTCAACCTTGTTGGCTGCCAAGTGCCTATGATCAATTGGCATAATAACCAGCCATTCTTAAGTTTTTCATTTTTGGGATTCCTTTGCTCCCAGAAACTGACACATGGGCGTCACTAAACTTAATTGGGGGGCCGTACAACATATACGAGTTGACATATATACAGCTTCAGCTGTTGGGTCCTTTAACAAATTGCTTTAGAAACAGAAGACTGTTCTGTTCATATATATATATATATATATATATATATATAGTTTGTTGTGATGGTGCATTTTGATACTTCGATTGATATAGTAGTATTCCTATTGTCTTGTAACTGAAAAAAAGCTAGTATTTACATTTGAGTATCGATTAGCATTCCCTATTTGCGTGTAGGTAATTTGTGAAGCAAGAAAATTAAGTCATATATTGTATAGAAGGGAAAAAAGAGGATCTAGAACAATGGAGAGTAAGGTTCTTGACGAAGTATACGAAACTGGTCGGCCAGGCCGGGCAAGTTGCTCAAGATGATAAGCTTAGATAATTGAACCGTATAAATCCACAACCCCCACTTGCTTGCTTAATATGCTGCCTCAAATATCCCTAATTTCATTAACAATCGATTAAGGTAAGTAAGTTAACTATATTAGGTTTAATGAACCTGTATTAAGACACAGTAGGGTTGTAATGATTTGGTGTTTGTTGTAATTAAGCTCCGCATTTTGCATGATCCAAGGCTTGTTGATAAGGCAGGCATACTACTTGACACATTCTCAAAAAAAGGTGTTTTGTCTGATAGTGTACACAGTTGGGCATAGGAAGAAGCACAAGCACCCTCAAAAGCTGAATTCCCATTTGTCCAATGAGATATTGTAATAAAATCAGCAAAGTTATTAGGACTGCTGTTCTCAATTTGTAGCCAGCCAATTACTTAAAGCCATCATAGATTCTGTGCCATACAACAAATGATAGATTCACTATTTTAAGGACTTCTAATCACCTTTTCTTTTTCTTTTTTTTTTTATCCCCACCAAGTGCAAGCTAGCAGACCATGTAGTACGTACGTAGTTGCAAAAAATATTCGTGGAAGATGTATATTTTATATAAATATATATTATATTTAACAGCCCCCATCCAAATAGTAGTAATAGTGCTTTGGTTCAACACTTCCTTTTTTGCACAAGAATTCTCGACCTTGCATAAAGTTTATTCCCACATTTTTGTATTCCCTTTGCCATAAACAGAAAATTCACAACTATGAACTATTCAAAGAACGTTGAAGTGTACCAGAAGAATATGTCGAAAACCCCCCTCCCCCATGAAGCTACGGAGTACGTACATGTTTCTTCTTTTTTCACTTCTTTTCCGCAACTATAAAAAGGCCCCAAAATCAATTATCACATTTGAAACTACAACTAAGCTACTATCTACGTTAGATATACACTATCTTAAACAATCCCAATTTGATCATTCTCTCCAAGTTCCAAAGCTACAGAGCAATATTGTGATGGGGAGGGTTGTGGAACCACTTGCGGTGGGGAGAGTGATCGGAGAGGTGGTGGATAACTTCACTCCGACGGTGGCAATGAGTATTACTTATACTAACTGTAACAAGCAAGTTTACAACGGGCACGAGCTGATGCCGGCTGTCATTGTTGCTAAGCCCCGGGTGGATATTGGCGGGGAAGATATGCGTTCTGCTTATACTCTCGTAAGCTAAACTATCTGCTGCTACTGCATTATTTATTCGGTTTTATTAAATAAAACTTGGTCTGAGATGGGATCTGTTAAGAAGTTATAATAATCATCTTGATTTGTTGTTTGTTAATTTTTGAAGATCATGACCGACCCGGATGCTCCAAGCCCCAGTGATCCTTATTTAAGGGAACATCTTCACTGGTATGTAGTTTGTACCGTACGGAAGTTATAGTACTACTTGTTATTGTGTTCAATAATTTATGTTATCCAACAAAAAAAAATAATAATAATTAGCAGATTCATTCTATTTCTAGAGTAGACGTAAAATAACACTTTACTTAATTTTGTGTATAATCTCAGGATTGTGACTGATATTCCAGGAACCACAGATGCTTCTTTTGGTAAGTTCTTTTACAAGTTTAATTACTAATTAGATTTCATCATGCATGGATGGCAGCGTTACGTCATTTATTAACTCCATGCACGTGCATGCAGGAAGGGAAATCGTGAGTTATGAGACGCCGAAGCCGGTCATCGGGATCCACCGCTACGTGTTTATTCTGTTCAAGCAGAGGCGGAGGCAGACCGTGAAACCCCCAGCTTCAAGGGATGGTTTCAATACCAGGAGTTTCGCCGAAGAAAATGACCTGGGATCACCGGTCGCCGTCGCGTATTTCAACGCCCAAAGAGAAACTGCCGCCAGAAGAAGATGAGCCCAAATGTCAAACCCGCTTATATGATTATCAGTATAGTTTGTAGTCATATGGACTCAATAATTCCGGGGCAGTTGTTGCCCCCCCACGTGCCTACTTAATGAGCATTATTACACTTCAGTCCTATATGGTTTGGTTAATTCCTCTAAATGAAGATAATTTGTAGTAGTTTAGTAGAACTTCCTGTCCAGATCATCTTCTTCTTTTTTCTTTTGTGTTTGGGTTGTAATAATGATTCTGGGTTCATTTCTACTGTTTACTAGACATTATTAAAGTATATAATAATTAATTATTAGTTCAGCTTTGTCACTCTTTATGAGCTCTGGTTGCTATCGAAAGTTCGAGGCCACAAGGTTTGGGGGGAGCGTGGGATCCGCCAACAAAAAATTTGTAAGGTTAAAAATGTTTCTGAAGTTGGATCTCGCATGATACGGAGACTGGGATCGTGTGTGCAAGTAATCAATGACATCTCTCAACGTTTTCCATTCTACATTTTGATCTATGTGATTGTCTGCATTAGACTGTGATCACTATGGTCCCATCTCTCGATCTAACTCACGAACTGAATGTATATGATCTGATCGCACTGTTATTCAATTCCTCCAACTTGTGGTGTAATGCACATGTCAATCAAAAAGACGGTGAACATCAGCTTCTGCGTCGGTCTGATGTTCCAAGTTACAAGTGAAAAGATGTGAAAAGTTGTTGAGTGAAATGGTGCTTGACAAAGCATGTTCAATCAAGATGGTAATTTTCAAAATGAAGTAAAAAGGTCAAAATCATCATCTGTCTCCATCCGTTTTACATGTTTTCCTAGTTCCTAGTACAAACTACAAACTCTTCCTCCTTTATAATAAATAGCCTATGATGTCAACACTTAACTGTGATGAAGCTGCTCCACTCAATCGCTTCAATCAGTCCAAAGGGAAAAGAAAATCGAAGATCTACCTTTACACTGTGTACAAACGCTGTATACCAGATTATTTAACCATGCAAATTAGGAGAGCTCTGACTGAAACTCTGGGCAAATCCACCGCCATTCAATATGGGTTTGAGCAATGCAACCTTGTCGCAGAAAATTCTGTGGATCCACCCTGCAACCCAAGTGAGCGGTTCCCAGTTTGAAAGGAATTCGGTCGCCTTGGATCACCCTGGTTTTACCGTCTGCTCTGCCAAATCAAAGTTTCCATGACAGAGACCAGAGCATACATGAACCAATAATAGGATCAAGCATTTATTTCCGCATTGCATTGATTCTCCCGGCTGCAGCTCCTTCTGCCCCAAAACATGCTTGAACAGGTAGTTTTCTCCAATCTCACGCTCTCCATTTTTTCTGTATCAGCCGGGTTAGAGTGCGTGTGATTGGGAGATTCTCCTTGTGTTTGACTTTCTCCAGTTTCAAAATTAGGGCAAGGTCCATCATTGCATGTACACAGAGGAATAGAAACCGAAGGGAAAGGACTGCAAGTAACAGGACACAGAAGATCCGATGGAACAGCAACCACACGGTTCTTTCGGATTTCCTGAGAGCTCGACGGCGATGATTGCTCTTGTTCTCTAGGATGAAGCATGCATGGTGTACATAAACCCAACGACAGATGTAATTTACTTTCTTTTGCGGGAGAACCAGGCAGCCTCACGAATGAGACAATACCATGCCGGCAGAGAGGACAAGGAATAGAACCAGGCGGCCCTTGTGATTCCGATGGATTGTTGCTTGTGGAACAGAGATAGAGTGCACACCTAACACAAAGTTCATGTCCGCAACCTAAAAGAGCACACAACAAGCTAGTTTCAATAAAATTTAACAATAGATATCCCTAATATTTCCATTCTTACTTTCCTCTCATCAAAGGCTAGCTAGATGAAGAAAATTACTAGTGGCCATCATTTCTTATCAAAGGGACATCAAAAGAAAGAGGGAAAACAGACCTTCAGCAGCTACCGAACAGGTTCTTTCAAGGCAAACGGCACAAGTATCAGCATCATCAGATGGGGTCGCTGATGGATGCAACCCACATTCTCTGCATCATTTTCAAGCATTCAGCCAAGTGAACAATATCATCTAAGTAAGCAAACCTAATACCATAATCCACCAAATCTAAATTTAATTAACTTTCAATAAGCAAGCATAAAATCAAAGTTGCTTGAACTTAAGAATGTAAAAGTCAACAAAAAGCTGGATTCTAAGCAGCATATAAAATTCAACCATATCAGTTTCACGTCCAAATTTTTTTTTCCTTTTATATTTTTTTTACCCTCTGAAAATCACCTATTCTTTGATAACATTTTCTCCAATTCCGAGTCTGGTATACAAAAACCTAATAAGGGTTAAAGTATAAGGACTTAGGACTTCTTTTAGTATTAAAAAAAGGCATCAAGAAGAGGCTACTTCGATAGGCCAAATTTGCTCCTCCAACATAAAATATTCAGTTCAGGTTTGCTACCTGTTTTATATATTACTACAGTGTATATATAAATGTTTCAAGGACTCGCAAGTAAGCTACAAGAAGCTCAAAAGTAGGAAAACAGATACAAAATGTTTATCTTTTGACTAACGGGAACCATAATAGTCTTGATTGGAATTGATGAACTTGAGACAAAAAGATGTTGACAGTACTTCATGGCCAATTAAGTATTAAAAACCCACCACCGTCTTTCAGATAAAAGGAAATGGCAAAACTGTTTCTGAGGAAAATCAATCATAACTTTATGATTAACTTCAACTACAAGAAACTTGAATACGAATTTAGCAAGAATGCTGAGAACCTATAACAAGATAGGTAACAACATTGATTTGCGCAAAAACTGACACAAAACATGCAAATCTTAAAGATTACCTGGCTATATTGAGTACGCTTAGCAGTGGAAGAGATAAATGATAGGAAGGCGGAAAAACTGGGAGTGCTGTATCTGAATGTGGTGTTAAAATGGGTTCAAGCCAATGACGCCCCCACATCCGTGCAACATCAACAGGGAGCCACCTGAAAGAATCCATATTTATGTTAAGAAGGGCGACAAACAAAAAACAGGTAAAAATGATGACTAATCAATTTTAAACAATCAAAGAGAATGAAGGAAATTGATGAATTACCCATTACAATTTAGTGTCATCCTATTGGCACCCTTTGCAAGGAGGATCTGCCAGAATAAACAATCATATCATCTAGAATCAAAACAAGGCAACAAAGATGATTAAGGAAACAAAATAAAAATAAAAATCATCACCTGGCAACACTTCAAATTCCCCCCACATGCAGCATAATGAAGAGGAGTACTTCCAGCACCTACAGCGGCATTTTTTAGAAAAATATTAAACAAACAACAGAAGTTAAAAGGTTTCTGATAATAAGACCTGACATAATCTACAATGAATCTACATACCGATCAAATCCATTGAAGTTCCATAGTGGAATGTCACAGCTGAGACGCTTGCATGAAGATCAAGGAGCAGCTGTACACAATCAAAATATCCATTCAATGCGGCCATATGCAGAGCAGTTATTCCACCATCCGCAGCCTTGTTTACAAATTTTGATAGTGAGCTGTAAATGAATATATAGTATATTAAAAGACACACGTGGAGAAATCTTAAATGGTTCAAAACAACACTATCAATATAATGCTAAAAGCAGAGCTCAGCTAGAGTCTTTATAATATACATCAGCAATGGTTTGCGAAAAAGCTTCTCCCAACATTTAGGAAAGCTTCTATCAACACCATTACTAATGTTTAACTCGATCAATTGGCCTGTAAATACTGAAACTAACTGAACTTATAAGAAAACAAAAAGAGCGATACAGCAGATCAAAATCGCCAACCTCTGCTCATTCTTCGTCTTCATAACTGAATCATCGACCCTATCACTGTTTGCTTGGTTCTCCAGAGATCCAAAAGGAGAACTTGGGACAAAATCAGCCACAACAAGTCTTATACATCTTACATGCCCATTCACTGCAGCAAAATGGAGCGCTGTCCTCCCACTAAGATAATCAGCTCTTGTAACCTGAAAATTTTCAAGCAGGCAAATCATCTAAAATAAGTCCAACAATTTCAGAGACGCTGAACAGTCCCGATTTCAGAATATTTTGTATGAATAAACCCTAAAACTAAAACCTTTGAGAACACTACTAAGAATCTCCAATTTTCTGTAAGAACAAAAGGAGAAAACTGTGTAATCGCTATAAATACTCACATTGCATCTAAAGAGAAGAAGAGTTTGAACAACTTCCCAATGGCCATAGCGACAGGCTTGCATCAATGCCGTCTGTAGCAAAATAATCATGAAACTTAGAGCAGATCCAACATTTTCTATGATTAAAACAGTAACAAGGCAGCTAAAGCACCCAACTTTTACACAAAAGTAAGTTAACAACAAAGAAGGCAAGAACACACGAGAACAAATGAAAAGCCATAATCCTGTACCTGACCACAGTAATTTCTTGAATTCACATCAGCTCCATTTTCTAATAATAATGCAACAATCTGAAGCAACCAAACCCCCAAAATGAAAAGGAAAATAGATAAGAAGAAAACAAAGATCAGGATCAATCACCACCAAAATAAAGCCGAACTTATTTATTTACCAAAAAAAATAATAATAATAAACCAAAGAAATAAATAAGAATAATGAATTCAAGTGGAATTGAAGAATAAACCTCGTTGTGGCCTTTAGCGGCAGCAAAGTGAAGAGGGGAGTTAAGGCCACCAAAGGTAGAATACTTGGCCAAACATGGATTGCAATCAAGCAACATCTTTGCCTCCACAAAATCGCCGTCCCTCGCCGCCGAGACCAACCTCTCACCGGAGGCCGAGCACCCAAAAGAATTCCCCATCTCCTACTCCCCGCCCAACACGCGGAAAAAAAAAGAAAAAAACAAAAACAAAATAAAAAAAATCCACCCCTCTTGTCTCTGCTAGCTAGCTGTGATGTGGGTTTCTTCCAGAAATTGATAAATTACAGAAGGCAATAAGACAATCAGTAGAATTTACAATGTAGGGAATTGATTATGCGTGGATGACGGATTGCTTACGAGTATGTGTGGAAAAGAAAATAAAAAGGGTGGGAAATTAGGTCAACTAAATTTTCAAAAGCAAGAGTAAAACGGAAAGATGATGACTTTAGCAAATTTACAAATGGACTTCCAGTCCCAGAAGGCTCTCTTTCTTCTTCCTCTTCTTTTTTTCCTTAAAAAAAAATATTATTTCTTTCTTCTGTGTAGCATCCACAATACTCGGAATTGGGGGTATTTCAGTCTCTGGGTTTCAGCTGGATTTCTTGATTTCTAAGTATGGGAATGCAGCAGGGACTGTGGGCACAGAGAGATTGAATTGTTGAGTGTAAAATACTCAGCCCGTATAGCCCAGGGTCTGACAAAATGACAAGATTATAATAATATGTATAATTAGGACTGCAAAAAAATGTTTAGCTTTGAGAAAACAGAGTGAGAAGAAAGAGGAAGGAGGCAGGAATTAGGGGCGAAGGAAGATTATGTTTGTTGTTTGGTGGAAAAAAATTTGTAGTAATGTGAAGACAAGAACCACTACTTTACCTCCTCCTCCACCTCCTCCTACTTCTTCTACCCTTTCTTTTTCTTTTCTACCTGTGTGATTGATGCTTTGCTTTTTTCACAAATATTATGTTGTTTTTTTCTCCATTCATTAAGTTGGGGAGTGGGGGCAGAGTCTGTCCCACATTTTGTTGAATTGTTTCTTGCTTTTCTTTTGGTTTTACTTTCAGTGTAAATGTTATATAGGAACTACCCCTTTTTGCTGTATACGTTTTGGATTGATTGATGGGATTTTTCTTTTTTTTTGCCTTTAGTAATGAGGAAGTTGTCACACACAGCCTCTGTCTTCTTCTTCTTCTCCAATTCTCTCCTTTGGTAGCTAGCATTTCTTGGGTCTTTAAAAATGTACTCTTTCCGTCTTATAATTATTGTTCAGTTTGGGTTTTCATTTCTGATTCAAATTGTATTAAAAGTGAAATTTTAAAATAGACAATAATTTTGGGACAGATGGAGTAATTCGTTTTATTGAACTATAGACAAGTGGTTAGGTAAATGATTTTTTATAAGAGCGAGCGTATAAAATGTAGCAGGAGTTGTGTAAAAGCTTTACCCATCACCATTAACCATTTTCACATGAGGAGGCAAAAGCATGATTTTGGTGCCTAATGGTGTCTGAATCCAAATGTCATGGTTGTGCGTAAATTTGACTAATCCTTCAAATGCATTACTATTATACCACTGCTTTGAGATGCTAAAAAGGAGACTTACGGAGTAAATCTAAAAGGTTGACTTCTTCGGGTCGGTGAAATCACGATTACCGTTGTTGTTTTGTCCCTCTAGTACATAAGTTGTAAATTAATTAATTTTTTTTATTAATTAAAAAAAAGATACTAATAACAATAATAATCATATAAAGTATTGAAATGCATGTGATTAAGCTGACCCCGGCCATTAAAATTATTGAGAGAGATCTCAGATTGGATTTTACCCCTTTGTTCTGTGACTAATTTATTTTAGCTCGAAAGATATGTTTATTCATGCATTACTTTTATTTATTTTATTTTATTTTTTTCTGAGGCGGGAGGGGCTATCTATATCTGTTCGGGGACAAAGAATAATCTTCCCACCGCTTGATTTTCAGCGGGTATTCAGATGATACAGATACATACTGCTCTTCGTCTTATTTAAATAGTTCATTTCATTTCAATATGAAAGATTAAAATAAGATGAACAATAAGGTTCACTTCCTAAAGCTGCTTATGATGCTAAACGACTAAAACGTGTGTGTTTATAAGAAGTTGGGTTAAATAGTAGTTGGGTTCGGTGGTGATATTTGCAAATTCATAAACTGGACCACGTTAACACTTCCTATTTCTTCATCTTAAAACAAACAACAAGATTAGCCAAATGGAAAGCTAGCAAGAGCCTCAAAATATCAAAGCGGAAAAAATATAATTACAACTTACTCTCTTATACAAGAAACATGACTCTTACGTAGAGACGGAAAAAAGGTACTAAATAGTCTACATGGAAGGGCTTAAGACTAAAAAATTCCCTGAATGACATTTTCCCCTCCTACGGATTCATCTACTGTTGGTGGACAAAAATATGGAGTTGCGTCTCACCTCATCAATGGTGGACTGGAAAATCAAAATCTTTTCAAATGTTGCCTGTCAATTGTTGATAGCTTAAAGAAACATAACCCCAACCACCCAATACCCACATAAATAAATTTGGATGCTACATCCTCATAGATTCCATTCCACCAATAGGTAATCTAAGACGTTTAGAGTAGACTGCATTTTGAGAGGAAAGAGATGTACTTATGGGAGAGATTAAGAAGAGCTTAAAAAATAGCTTCACCAAATCCCAGGCAGAATGAGGCGTAAGTCAGGATCATTAATCATAAAAAAAAAAAAAAACCTGAAAAATTCCTACCTAGAAGAATGGAATATGGAAGGACCAAAAGTCAGCTGTGCTGATGATCATGATCGCGACTTCTCCACCGCTTCGGCCAATAATTATTCAACAAGAGGACAATCAAGATTACTTAGTTTATAATATTAAACCTAAGTTTGTCTCATGTGTAGATATTTACAATGAACAAATCAGTAATGACGAATAGCAAGCTGGGCAGTGGAATAAATGGAAAGGGAAAAACCTAGGTGCACAAATTGAAATCAAGAAGGAGCTTCCATCTGTGAGATCTAGATTTCCTTCTTTTTTTTTTCACCTCCTTACCTGATCAACGGAACTTAAAACAATATTCCGCACCAAACAAACTAGATTACAAGGCTCCGTTGATATAAATCAATCGAAAATAAGTTATCTGCCTGTTCCAAGTTACAACTAACTCTACTCATTTGATCAACATTTTTCTCAGAAAAATAATCATCATGCACACAAATAAAACCTAAAGAACAAGGTCGACGATTTGTGGAGCACCAACACACAAACTTCCAGTTTAACCAACACCGAGCTGCTTGCACCGGTTTTACAAGGATACAAGAACAGCTGATCTTCTATATCCTTTTCTTTTTCTCACTTGTTCACTTCTAAGTTGATGGAACTAAGTTGAAGCGCATAGATTTTAACCAATCAGCATTTAGCCATTTTATTTAGTCATTTAGCCATTTTAATTAATCAATAAGGCTATGCAAAGAAAACAAACTATAAGGATGTCTTTGGTACATCAGAAATTTTCATTTGCAACTCTTAGGTGCCATGATTTTTAAAATTTTACTTCTTCCCAACCAATGTGTCACATAAGAATCATAATGAAGTCATTTACACACATTCCAAACATGGCTCCAACGACATAATGCACAATTTAATGAATAGCGCAGGACTTAACTGTATCCAAAATTTATTTGCATTTAAGTAAATTGTAGACAACCAGAAAAGGCTGTGATATAACAAGCATCCCAGTGAGTTTCAACTGAGACAGAAACTAGGATCTAAAGATTCTGAGTGCCAAACAAGTTAACAAGTAGTCAAGTACAGAACAAGTCGACCCCGACATTCATTAAAAGACACACAAACTCTGATCAGCACTTCCATGACTTCAGTGAATCTAGGAAACTATTTAACCATATAGTATCAATAAATTAGGTAGACATACCTGACAGATGAAAGCCAACACCATGTCAGAAGGCAATGGGATGCATCATCAATTTTCCATTAAAACCATTGCATACATATGAAAGATTACAGTTATAAATGAATTGAAGGGCCTTATGAAGTCAATGTTCATGAAATCAGCTCTCCTCTTTTCTTGTGCAAGGATCCAGTGACTTTGTCAACCGTAAAGTAGGTTAGAGAGTGTATCAAGAGAGAAATCAGATAATTTCAAGGAAAATAATTACATCTTAAATGAGAAAAACCATCACAACATGCTCCGGAGATGCTCTGATTTCAAACACACAGTAACTGACCAATGCATCACTTAGATTCTAAATCAATCTTTATGCGCGTTCCTTTAGTCAATTAATCAGGACATTATGACATAAGGATTACTTGTCATTTCTGGTTAAAGACATTAGGAGGGATCACTTCAGAATATTGAGGGCCGCACAATATTGAAAAGAAGGCAGCTATACTGGGCTCACATAATAGACAAGCAGTTATCAATTTCTGTGTGAGCCATACAAATCTAACACTCTTGGTAAGTCTCCCCTCAAAAAATCAGATACACTCAAGAAGGCTCCACTAGTCCACTTTCTTTGGCAACATCTATGCAACACCATCAGTCAACCCAGAAGCAGGGCATCCATTCTGGAGAGACATTTAAGAAATCACGGAGAATCATTAGTTAGATGCAAGCAGGAAAAGACAATTTTCATGCAAACATACTACAAACTCACTTTCCCAAACAAAATTGAACTTCCTCTAGGAAGTGAGTAAACCAAAAAAAAAAAAAAAGGTAGATGCTTTATCATTCTGAAAGTTTACAAGAAAAATTAAAAAGCATAAAATCCCAATTTAAATAGTAAGCAAAACTTCAATATACCTTCCGGGAAAACCTGTAATGATGGTCCATGATTTACTTTCAGCCTAACAGTTTGAAAGGTCTGGCAATCGACTTTAGCATCTTAATTTCCAAAGCTCCACACTCTTTGAATAGCAACTTAATTTACTCTGACAAAAAAGCATCATTCGCATCTACATTTTCCTGGTCGGAATAATCAGTGCTACCACCATTATGTTCCACACCAGAATCTAGGTCTCCATCTGGTTCCTCGTCATGATAGCCACTGTCACTAGTTGCGAAACCGTTGAACCCATTCTTCAGAAAGTCCCTCTTTGAACCATCCATTTCCTGTTCCTCACCATCCCTTCTATAGGAAACCAGTGCTTTGTCCACTTTAGCCTTTCTTGGGCTGATTAATACTAATTCGGCCAGCTTTCTCCTAGCTAAATACAAATCATTTGGCTGAATCAACTCTCCTTTCTTATAAGCTTCTCTGAGGAAAACAGTATGCAATTTCCCTTGATTCCCCCTGGTTGATATGTAAAAAATTCCCTGATGCTGGAGCAGAAACTCTTTGAGCTTTCTAGGCAAATCCATCGCCAGCCTAAAGTGTGCTATCCTCTCCAAAGTTATCTTCTTTTCAACGGTCAAAGATAACAACTCATGGATGGTAGCAACAGCTCGCTTCTCCATTCTCTTTTGTGCTTCAAGTGACCTCAAATCATAACCGGAAACATCTTCATAAGGAGACCAATACGGCAGTCTCTGCCACTTCCACACTGCAATCTTGTAATACTTACCAATCTTGAAACCAGGAGGAAAATTAACAATAAAAGCAAAACGAATATTCTCTGCATCTGCACCTTTCTCTCTATACTCTTTCTCCCTAGCAGTCTCAATAGCACATCGAGCTAAATCCGGGTCTTTCTCCACAACCTCGATATACTTATTCCGAGCCTCTTCAGCATCAAACAATCTAAAGAACTGAGGGTACTTGAGGACAATAGAAACTTCAAAATCATCAGGTAAACCAAACTCACTTCGGGCAATCCGGACATGTTCTAACCGCAGACGACCCGTATTGGAGAGCATTAAGAGCTTGCGGAGTCGAATTACGGCTTCGGGCAGCTGCTCCAGAAGGGCTTGATTCTCTTGCTGAATTTGAATCTGGGATTTGCGAGAAAGCCTACAATACAGGATTCTTTGAACAGGGTGTTCAAAGACTTCAAAAACATGAGGGAATTTAAGGATGAACCGACCCGCTTCGAACTGTTTGAAACCCAATCGGCGGGACATCATGTCTAGCCGAGAAATGGAAAGAATTGAACTAGGCTGTGAAAGAATGAGGTCCTGGAATTTCAGAACTTTGCGTATTTTCTTCTCCACTTCCATGTAATCGTCGAAGCCATGGTCGCGGACTCGTTGCTGCTTTCTGGGAATGGAGGTGGACTGGGACATGGATCTTCGAGAAACGAGGTGGATTCCATTGACTAGGCATTTGAAGTTTGAGCCGGATCTCGATTTCAATAATGTTGTTGATTGTTCGATGAGAAATTGCATTTTGGGGTGGATCGACGTTTTGAATGGAGGGTTTTAGGGTTTTAGAAGAAGAAGAAAAATAGGATTTTAGGCAAAAACGACGTGGCTTTTCATTTTGCGCGATGAAGTAAATCCAAATCAGACCATTTTTGTGTCAAAATTGTGATCTTAACATAAATGGCAACTCGCTTTTCATCACGAAAGTTTTTTCTCTTCTCATCAACTCAAATAAATTGGGTAAAAAAATACAATAAAGTTTTGATTAAATTTAAACATATCATCAATGATGAAAATGTTCACATTGGTCAAGTACCCATAAATTTTTCTTTCAATATATATCAAAAGTTTAAGGTCCTTTTTTTTAAAAATAAATTAATTAAAAAAAAAAAGCCAAACCACCCTTGCACCTGTAGTTGAGTGCGTCAAATGAGTTGTTTTTTGTTTTTTTTAAATACTCGGGAGCCAACTGGCTTAGTTACAAAACATCCTCTATTGAGATGATTTACTCTTATCTAAACCAACTAATTCTTGAGTTTTAGTCGGGGATATTGCCAAAATATATAACTCCGGTGGACAAGAAAATCCAAACTTAGCTAAAGAGTGGACGACTTCATTTCCTGGCCGGCGGATATGACTTATCTCCATTTGCTAGTTACGTAGCGTCGAATGAGTTATGAATGCATATTTTCATAAAGGAAAAAAAAGAAAACTAATTTGCAACAAAAGAGACTTGAAATATCTAATCGATAGAACTAAGAGTTCCAACATAGTAAAATAAACTGAAGAATCCATAAATCCACTCTTAAAATCAATCATCCATGTTTTTTTAGATAGACAGAAAACAGAAATAAATTGGAAAATGAATAATAATACTCAAATGCTTTCAAAAAAAAAAAAAAAAATAATACTCAAATGAAAGAATCCTCTATAATATGCAATTAGGGGCCCAAATCACATTTCTAGGCCTGCCTTTGCTGGACCATGGATTCCACCAGCATATGCAATACAAAACTAAAAAATTTGCCAACTCATTCTACTACTTGCTCAGCCCATAGGATTTTCCTGTTGGGCCACAAAAATGCACGTATATCCCAATCCCGCATGGTTCCCCTGTAAATCAAAATTTTCGATTGTAACCTAAGCCTATGGCTCCCTTCATATTTATAAAATAAAAAAAAATAAAAAGAAAAAGAAAAATTCGATTGCAAATGTAACATAAAATCAACGTAGACAAATCATATGGTCAGAAGTTTTCCTGAAGCTCTTTTTGTGTATTTGCGTAAGACACACACCAAAGGTAGTCGTCATTGCTCATTATGATAATGCCCAAAAATAGTTCAAAGACCATATCGTATAATGAAGAATTATTACCGTCCAAAACCAAATGTTGAGCAATCTGCATTCAAGTTTTACCAAAAACAGTATGCAGCAGCTACATCATGTGTATAATAACAAGCCCAATTGATACACATTTGCCACAATATATGTATATATATAGAGAGAGAGAGAGCGCTAAATGAAATCAAAGGGGCTATCCGAGTCAATACCCGAACCACGATCCTGCACTGAGTGTCAAGCTTTGCTTTGAATCATTACATTTTCTTCAAAGCAATTCTTGACACCCAACTTAGGATCCGAATTCGCCAACCGGTTCGCTCTTGACTCGAAACCCCCCTTTTTTGAGCCAAAATTACTATAGTAAGATGCAAACACACACTCACTTTAAAACAAGGCTAACCAAAATCTATACTAGCACCAAACCGGGCATAATTCCAGGCCGGTGTCAGTTGCCACTGAAGGCAGCTTTGATGCTTTGTAGAGTGCGGGTGATCAATGCATTAACTGTATGCACCGAGTCCATAGTCAGCCTGGTTGACGAACTATTGACCAGGATTTGAAAGCTCACGGTCAGCAAAGACCCACTGCCGCCGCCAGTAGAACCAGGAGTTTCTGTTGCTGAAATTCCTGGGGAGCTGTCCTGATTGGTCGTTGATTCATTTTGACAATCTGAAACTATTGAAAATCCAGATGGAAGCAACACCACGCATGACGAATCTCCACCACCCATGACCACATTCATAGCAGGTATGTCAACAGCAGCATATACTATGAGTGAACCAGAGACATCATTGCAAGTCTCTTGCAAAATCAGAATGGAACCCTGATTAGAGTTTGAGCTATTAGCCTGCAAGATTAAGGGGGAAAAAAAGACCAAGTGAGTCTCAATGATGTATGCTTCTGATCTTATTGCGTAGAAAACACAAATAACAGCCACTCACACTTGACCGGAGAAGAGAGATACTGTTGCCAAGATCCTGGCCTTTAGCAATGTGGAGCATCTGTTGCATGGGACCTTCAAGAGACAGGACATCCCACTGGGCTCTTGTCTGCTCATTGCGCAGGTAATCAAAAAGGCGCTCTCGAGACACTGGCAGCCAAACGGTGGTTGTGGCACTCAGTATCATACCAGGTGGCTCCCCCGGGTTCCCATAGCTCTTCCTCATCATCAATCTTGGATCATTCGCATCTCCAACTTGGACAATATCCCAGTTGTGAACTGTTGCACAAATCCCAGTGCCAAAGTTTCGAGTCATGCGTTGTGCTAGCTTTGCAAGGCTCTTCCTACCAGCTGGACTGATTACTGTCACAAAGCAAGGAACATTAGACACCTATAAAAAATTATTAATTAAGAGAACTAAACGAAGAAAGACCAGCTGCTGAATTACTGAATACAACATCATGAAGTAATATCAAACCAAATGTAACAGAAAAGACAGTTCAACAAGATACCTGCTTGATCTCCACCCTGGACTGTAGAAGACAAGATAACTGCAAGAAACTCACATTGCCGTTCAAGGGTGGCAACCCATTTTTGTGCTCCTAAACCCAGGCCTGACCTGAGCAAAGGCCGGAAGGATTGATTAACAGTGGTTTCATCATACTCCATGTGTTCAATCCAAATGACCTGAAAACTCCTTTTAGTAGTTGCAAGAAATTTTAAAAATATATTGAAGTGTCGGAAGTCATAAAGATAACTAGGGTAGTAGTAAATGATATAGCATAGCATTTGTCACGCGATTCGTAGTGATTAAGATTTAGAGATCATATTCATGGTAAGTAACTGGGAGACATAATATGTTGCTGAAATGATCAAATATCCATAGAATAACAGGCCATCTGGTATGAAGATGTCAATGATGTGAATACTCACTAATGACCTACACAGAATCAAAGGACTTGACCGAGCTAGCAGCATCACTTTTTTATGTTTTGGGTAGAATTTTTTGGAAGACGAACCTAATTAATATCAGTATTCCTATAATGCATGGGAGAATGAACCCTCATATAATATTTATGTGGTGAATGAGAATGAGAGTGGACCACTTGTTAAATATAAAAACAACTACCCAAACTGATAAGAAACTAGACTGCATGACCTTAGCGTTCTAATAAACTGAACTAAATAGGTCAATATTCTACAGAAAGCATGAATTCTACATTCAACCAAACAGGCAAGAGAAACAATATTTGTGAAAAAGGCATGTTCAAGAAAAACTGCATCCCTCCAACTCAAAAGAAAACCTAAAGGCATTGATCTTCTTCTATATTCAGATAAAAACAAACAAGTTTAGTACTTTATTATGTTAACTTGGTTTAGAAGGAAAATAAAAGCTATCAAATTGTGCCAGTTTGTGCGGGGGTGTCTGTGTGTGTGAGAGAGAGAGAGAGAGACAAAAGAATGAGTGAGAAGTTATATAAAAAACAAGCAAACTTATACAAAAAACTCCGTGCCTCTTTCATCTAACATTTCCCCATATATGCAAAGCAGAAATAGAAGCAAAGGCGACGCACACGTATTCTAATTAGATTCTGTTGTTTGACACATTACTAAATCCAAAACTAACTTAATCAACCACACACTGAGAAACACAACTTTGTAAAGGATGGCCATTGCATTATAATATTTTGTACATCCATTTCACTGATAAAATAAACAAAAGGGATACAAAACCAAAAAATTATAACAGTTCACAGTTACGAGGGTTCTAGAAGTCATTAAAATCTTGGAAACAAAAACCAAAAATGACGGGAGTGCAGTCCTCTTTATGTCATTTTAGTTTTAGAAATCCCAAGAAACACAGAACTAGCTGAAAGCTAAAGGCATAATGACACATTAAATTTCTAGTCACTAGTACCTTGGAATAACCATTTGGCAAATCTTGCACGATACAACCAGATGGGAGCCTTCTGCAATCAGTGTATATTTGCCCAGTCGAACCATCTCTAATGGAATCAACAGAAACATCAACGACAGCCCAATAACCCTCTGTATGCTGCTTACAAAACCGAAGAAACTTCACTGGACGGACAGCAACTAATGGAGTAAGAATTTGAAACTCGGCTTGCATCTACAGACAGAAATCGCAATTATGGCTTATTAATTGAAGGTAGCATAAAAACAAGAGACTGTATATTCTTTCCATTCATGAGGATATCCAAGTCCAACATAGGAAATCAGTAGCTTACCACTTGCAAAGCACCATTTTTGGAACCCCCGAGACCAAAGGAAATCACTTCAACAACTGAGGCTTTGCCAAGCATGCATGAAAACATCTCGGTCCACCGATTCTAGAAGGCAAGAACACAAAATAATGCCATTGAGCTACAAAAGGTCAGAGCTCGGTGACTTAAGGAAACCGTGAAAACTGGACAGCAAACTAAATCGTAATTGAAGGTGAAAGACAGCTATTACGCATTAGGGAAGAATAATGAAGATGAGGCTTATAGTTAACAACATGCCAGATTAAAAAGTCAATGAATGAATGACTAACCGCATCCATCATCATCTCTACAAGAGTTGTACTGTTGATAATCACAGTTCCACTAGCCCTTGTTGCTTCCGATACGTAACTTTCAGGTTTCATCCCAATACAAGGAGGAAATGATCTGGTGTACTCCTCAAGGTTTAAAGATTCCCCACCCCCCTCCATGCCTCTAAACCAAAGATTGTCGACTTGAGCCAGCTTTAAGAATTCTTCCATAGCGGCCATTGCCAACTCCACATACATCGATGTGTCAGTTGTTACATCAAAGCCGGTGCCTAACGAAGATCTGGTGGGAGGTACACCAGATAAAGCACCGGGAATCCCACTGACAAAATCAAGTCCAAGTGGCATTGTAGGACTAACTGCACTCACACCACCAAAGCCATTCCTTCCCACAGCTAGCTCCAAATCAGAATTTCCAAGGCCAATAGGACTGGAAACACTTGAGAGTGGTCTACCCAAAAATTTGCTTGTCAGGGAATTAAGTCGAGTTAATTCATCCCTAAGTCGACCGTTCTCAAGCCTTAGACGATGCTCTTCAATGGTGGTCTCACCCAGAACTGCAGGGCCGCCACAGTGGCTGCAGACCGGGTTCCTCAATGATTCTTTCATGGTAATGTTTTCCATTCGCAGCCTATCATTGTCCTGCTTCAGCATGGTGTTCTCGTGGCGTTCCATTTGAGTCTAATTAATGATCCAAATTCAGTTCCATCTTTCCATAAAGCGAACTTACAAATCAAGAAAATGAGAAGCAAAGAAGGAAAAGTACTTTGCAAATACCTTCATTTGGGTTCTCCTGTTTTGAAACCAGAACTTGACCTGCTTGCTTTCTAGGTTCAGCCTCCTCCCAAGTTCCAATCTTGCCTTCTCATCAGGATGGGGGTTCTCCTTGAAAGCACTGCAAACATTTTTTTTTTTTTTTACACATTACAAATGTGGTTTAACTTTGATCCCAAATCAACATATTCTCGATTGCTAAAAGACAGGCAAAAAAACATAAACAAAATTGTAAATGACTCACGCTTCCAACTCCTGAATCTGAAGAGGAGTGTGCCTGTGATACTTCTTCTTCTTTCTAGCTTTGCTGTCTCCAGAGGCATCCTGATCATCCCCGGATGGATTTTCATGATTGTCACTGCCGGACCTGCTGTCATTCTCCTCATCTCCAGGCCTATCTACAAGGACGAAATTCCCACCTAAACCCATTTCACCAACACCTTCCATCTTGGGCTTCTGGACAAAACAATGCAACAAAAAAACTAATCAATGATTCATATGAACCGATCAAGCCAAAATAATAAAATACTAAAAGACAAGTCTTTCGGTAATGCAAAAGTACATAAAGATAACACCACTACCAAATCAAGTAGTACATGCATACATGCAGGCTAATTCAATAATCAAATCAACATACAAGAAGGGATGTAAAACGGAAAGAAGGGTCATACAACGGAGAAGGAGAAGGGTGAAGAGTTGAAGATGGGCTGAACAATGGGAGGGCGAGAAACCATAGATGGCTGAGAGTGAGCAATAGTAGAGTTGGGAATGGAGCTGGAGTTGTTGAATAGATTATCAGACATTATTCTGGCATCCCCAACACCACTGCTACCACCGCCAATAAAACCCCCAAAACTCATGGAAACTGGAATAGGATAAAAAAGAAAAAATCTTTCCTTTTTCCTGGCTTTGGAAAGACTCGGAGTTTCTTGACCGAAAATCTCCAAAAAGAAATCGGAAATACACAGTACATCAATATCGTTTTCAAAATGGTATTCCCAAAAATTTCTCTTTCATGATTTCATCTTTCCTTCTGAGCTTTTGACAGCATCGGTCACAAGTCACAAGCACACTACTGGGAAGTGGGAACTAAACACATTATGCAAAAGATAGCATATTTTGGGTAAAAATAATTTGATCACAAATTCACAAAGTCCACCAACACCAAAGTAAGAGCCATTCAGTGGTGTGGTTTCTTCTTGGCTTTGGCGATGTTTACACCATGTTTGGACCACGTTCTACTGTTTTTGCGAAAAATATGAACTCAACCCACCAACCAAAACCCACAAAATTTATGAACAGCCAAACGGGGTTGGTACAAGACAACCGAGATACCTTATTGCACCCTTTTCACACTTCTTAAACTACAGTACCACCATAGTATCTACCCCTTAAAAAAACCTCCTCCCATCCTCCATGACTAATAATAATGTGAAAAAGGCAAAAATAAGGAAAACCCTAGTCTGGAAATTTTCCTAACTTAGCTGTAATGATGAAGAAGAAAAGAAAAGACCTTTCCTTCCTCCTAACTGTTAAGGGGTGTTGGAGGTGTAAAAGCAAAAGGTAGAAAATGAAAGGTTTTTAGAGCAATAGCAGCAAACCAGAAAAAACTCAAAAAAGTGAAAAGCCACAAGAAAAGAAACAATAAAATAAAGAAACCCCACTCAAAAGTGGACTTTTCCGCTACCTTACAAATTTTATACCAATACTACTAAACTCAGCAAAAACAACAGACCCCAGTTGACTGTGTCCTTTTTTTCTCATCCCCCCCTCACTTTTATTAGTCTCTTTTTCTTTTTCCTTTCAATCTTGATTTCTACAGCTCTAAAACTTGGTCTGGTTGTAACTTGGAAACACAGTACGGATTACACAAAGGAAAACTTTTAAGCAAGCAAATCGAAAAACAGAAAAAAGTTTGTGTCTTTATGCGTGAGAGGGAGAGAGAGAGAGAGAGAAGAGATAAGATAAATACAAAGTCCAAGATTCGGGTGGACCTTTGGACATAAAACAGTGCCAAAACACACACAGTCACACACTTCTCTCTGGATACTGATGTATTTGTTGGGATCCGAATACACAGAGAGATTTAATTTATTCGTATCGAGTAAAACCCAAAATGATAGTAAAATGGAGGCATTAGCCCGATTAAGAGCTGCTGACTTACAGTGAGGAAAATTGGCGCACTTAAGTGAATGGAAAAAATATTGGTTTTTCAAAGCGTTTCTATTCCAAGTCTCGATTCGGTTGAAGAAATCGAAACAAATTTTTTTATTAAAAAAATTGGAAATGGAACAGGGGCTGTTTTGAGAGAATCAAGCCCAGAGAAGATGGACTTAAAAAAATTTCTTCCTGGGAGAAAGAAAACTAATAAAAATTTGATGGGAACTGATGATGCTGTGAATACTATAAAACTATGGAGTTTAGCTTCTTCTCGGTTCCATGCAATTGTGTCTGCTTCTATTTCACTATTCCCTTCTTATACCGATGAACAGTACACAACCAAATGACCACAATTTAATTGTTCTGTAATGATAAGCTGTTTATTTTCTTGCATCTCAATATTAATGATTTTTTTACATATTTGGATTAATCAAATTAGTAAAATAATCTATCTAACAACAAAACTGGAGATAAATGAATTTGGACACTGAAAGTTCGGAATTTCGATAAGTCCGCCAAGTTGGCTGGATTTTGTATATTAGACCGTGTGACTAAAAATTTCATAGCTCTCTAACTTTGTACTAGTGCTACTTCTTCAGTCTCCCTCCCGCCTAATTAATTACCCAAAATCTCACATTTATCCATGCTTGAAACAGGGGAACTACACTACAGAGTGATTTCCCGGCCTTGTCGACACGTACATTCTATATTTTCCATTTCCCATGATTTTTTTTTTAAAAAAAAAATTAATTAGATTATCAGAAAATTACATTACATTAATTTTATTGGAATTCGATTTACGGTGTCTCTCGCGATGTTACTCACTCTACTCAAAATCGTTCATTCTAATTATGATATTGGCATTTATGATGTTGAAATAGTGTGGATTACAAGGATATTATGATATTTCTATTTTGTGAGTAATTATCACACCAACTTAGTAGATATTGTAAAAAAAAAGGATTGTTCAGAGTAAAAATGAATGAGAATCTGATGATTTATTTTTCTTCTATAAGTGTTGCACCGATCCACAACACCTTGTAGGCTGTATTTGTGTGTTTTGGAAATCTTATTATTCTGTGACTGTTTTGATATTTTAGTGAGTCATTTACGCACAATCCCACATGTTCTTGTAGATTTTAGGAATTGGATTCTCATTCTTCGTGTTCGTTGTTAGTTGAGGCGGTAGTCAAAACCTAATAATAAGGTCAAGTAAAACTAAAAACTGATTCATCACCAAAGCCAAAGGCTGACATCTGTGTTTTTTTTGGTTTTCTTCCCTCTTTGTTTTCCATATATTATAACATTGCAAAACTGAATTTCTGAGACTGTAAAAATAGATGCATAATGCAAATCAGAAAGTAAATAAAACTAGTAAGAACCCATATGGTGTCTTCATTTTCATATGTTTAAAATCTGATGTTACTCTTTTTATTTTGACAACATTTAGTTGAGATTTCGTAATATGAAGGGAAGTAGATGATATGGGGCTCCGGACTAGCTGTAGCATGATATGGGGCTTAACTAAAAGTAAAACCTACTACAATGAATGTAATAATGCATTAGCAAACTAACAATATCCATGTTTTTGTAGCCTCCATTTTGTTGTTGTCAATGCGAACCCTATTTCCGCAGATATTAGCCTCAGATGGGCCGACATTGCGGAGCAAATCAACTAGCTATATCGGGTATTATCGGGTACTTCTTGTTGAGAGGGTACTAATATCTTCCTCTTTTTATTTTAAGTTGAAGTTGGTTATATTGTTATGTATGTTTCGAAATAATAGTCTAGTTATTAAATTATTTTTATTTAATAAAATATTGTATTATTACCAGAATGGAAGAATATTATTTTGTAATTGAATAGTTATTATTAGAGTTTTTCTTTTTTCTCCTTTTGGAAAGACACATTAGAGTTCTTTAAAATATACACCGGCGCTTATAATTCTATACATTTGAAGTTATGTACATGAAACAATATTATCATTTAAAAGTTTAAATTCTAAAAAACTCAAGTGTATTGTTCTATTTGTATATAATAATCACTGGGTTCAATCCTAATGTGTATTGTTTGTTTTGTTTTTAGTAAAATTGTTTTTCATTCTTGAAACTTACTTCTATTGCTCTAAAATGTTTGTTCTATTTGTATTTTTACTTTATATAAATTAAAAATTAAAAACTTAATAGGACAATCATTTCGAACACAAGAAGCATAAGTTATCGCTTATGTGTAACAATTCTTGCACTAATCTTTGGTATATATTTAGATCCCACTCACATAATGCTATCACTTATTTGCGTGAATAAGTCAGGAATAATGCTTCCCCAAAAAAATAAAAATAAAAAAACATATTGGCTAAACCGTTCAATCATTAGATGTAGTAATATATTTATTGTAACTACAATTTAGCAAGACAAACATAATGGAAATCCATATTAATTAAATCACATAAATCTCATAATACTAATGAAATTCGTATATTTAGATTTTTATATCAACATAAGATCAGTTTCAACCGATACTGTAAAATCACTTTTTTTTTTTTTTTTGGTGGGTGCTATTTTGCAGTATCGTAGTCCTCCAACCCATACGCAAAACAGTCTTGTATTTTATAGTAGGAGTCTAGCAGGCATTGGTACCGGAGATTTCCATTACGCTAAAGCAAACTGAATCACTATTCGCGGGTCTCCTCATTTATTTTCTTCTTTTATTTTCATTCTTCTTTCCGAGTTCTTAATTATTATTTTTTTACATAAAAATATTACTTCTTATAGAATATAGAGTTGTTAGATTGAAGTAAAATCACTCTAAACAATGTATATATTGTATTTTAGAGTTTATTGTACTGCATCCTTTGAGTATTGAATTGGAATTGCTCTAATCATATAGATATATAGTGCCTTTGTAATCATGTCGATTTTAAGCAGTGTTGTTAAGCTCGTCTCGGACCGGCCGGTCGAACCGGTTTAACCAAGAATCGAATCTTGATCCGAGCCGAACAAGGTATAAATTCGCCATTTTAAGACTCGGTCAAAATCGATCAAAATACCAGTCGAATCAGAAATCAGTTAGAACCGGTCGACCCAGAGTTTCTTAATTTATTGACTTTTTGACCAAATTTTACACTTTTCCCCATAAATGTTCACTTTATTCAAGGTTAGCCTTTTCTTTATTAAAAAATGACCTATAACTTTTGATATTTGTTTTTGTTTAAAGTATTAATATATTATTTTAGTCCCTAATTTTTGCATTCAAACTAACTCCAAATTGTTTAAGTTTTTCATTATTTTTGTTATACAAACTAACTCCAATCATTTAAGCAAAATTTAAATTCTAACTCAAATATGTTGAAAATGATTTTACATTAGGTTTTTATTAATTTTTAAAGTCAACTATCTTGCAAATTAGATAATATTTTTTAAAATAATATTTTATTTATTATAATTACTTTATTAGTATATTTATTTAGTTCACAAAAATTGTAATTAAATTCTATAAAATATTAATATGAACTATTACAATAGGAAAGGGATATAAAATAAAAGTTTTTTTAATTTTAAATATATTAAATAATTAAATATTATTATTTATTAATAATGACGTCATCCATATCGATCCCCAAGTCAAAACGAATTGACCCTCGAGTCACTTGACTCCTGGCCTTTTCGAGTCGGCTTCCGAGCCGGGTCTGACAACACTAATTTTAAGTGACAATAGTAAAAATATAAATACATCATTCTTCGAGGTGGGATCATCACTAAAGGCCCACTAGTAATTGAATCATTTATCTATACTATATTCTAAGAGAGAAACCAGAGAGAGAAAATAATATTTACTCTTAGAGTGTCACATCAACAAAAATCCTAGGTGTAATTTTCTTGTAAATCTTCAAAATAAAACTTAATATAATTGTGTAAAAGTCCTCCAAATTTGGATTGTTTTAATTATTGTATTCTTTAAAAGATTAGTAAAATTCAATAAGGTCCTACATTAAGTTTACATAAAACAGGAAGCCAAATAATTTCTTTAGGGTTGGTAGCCAAAAATTTCCTCCTTTTTTTTTTTTTTTTTCTGTACAAGCAACATATGAATTTTGTCTTCTTTTTTCTTCTCGGAACTTCTGAGCTTAACTAAAATTATGAAAATTATACCTATATTTTATTTTTGACTAAAAAAATTTATCCAGTAATAATGATGAATTTAAAGGTGTTACATTGGTATCAAGTACTAATATTTGGTTTGTTTTGGTAGGTTCATACCTTAATATATTGAGTTCTTTGATCAACTGTATCAAGTGAACTATTTAACCGGCTATATACTTAGACATCAAACCTATTTTTATATCATTTTATTTGATTTCAATAAGTAATATAGTTAGAAAAGTAAAATTATCATAAAATCATAATAAAATAATAAAAATAAATCATTAAAAAAATATTATTTAATCCCGTGCATCGCACGGGTATAACATCTAGTACTTTTAATCTTGCAATATAATTTAGTTGAAGGGTAGTCGTGTCACGTAGTGACTTGTGGATACAATAGATAGAGTTCATATATTTTAGAATAGATAAGAAAAGCAACAAAGAGAATTAAAATCAAAGAAGGGATGATTTTGAGAAGAAAGGAGAATTTGGGAAGAAATAGACTTCAGACTTTAATCAATTTTCTTCATTTTGTTTATATTAAATCAACCTGCTATTTAGCCCACTAATGTAAAATGTATTTCAGAGCTTTAAATGTCATATAATTTTGATATAACCATAACGGGTGAATGAGTGTTCCACTCATTCCAACGTTTACATCAGTGCGGTAATTCATCCCAAAGTTTTATAATT